CCGGGTGCTTGGTTTTTTTACTTACACACTTCACTTATTTGTTGCCCTAAGTCGTACCACTCTTGATTGGGAGTAGACAAGTTCAAGATACTCAACATGTCCCCATCTCGCATGGACTTTCCTGTTCCTGGCTAAGGGCCAGAGTCGCCACGAGCGCTGAGCCGGGACTTTCGCACTTTAGCCCACCCCATTCCTTCAGCTACCTATTAAATACGGAGCATCCTTATATTTACCTCATGGCAAATTTGACCTTGACGATAATGACAGGATGGCATTCGGTAATACGAACCCGGCGACCTTGAAACCAAAGTCCGGATGAAAACGGCGACTCAAAATTTTCTTCTTGTCCGAGACATCTTTTCGTCAAGGGCTTTGGGGCTCTGTGGCAATTAATTTGGTTCGCAACTATCAAGTTGTGCCTACTTCTTGATGCCAATAGGAAAGTCTCGGAGATATGGGCCTCGGTGAGAAAAACTAGCATATCGAGCAGGGCCCCGTCGAATATACAGCCGTGCTTGGATAGCGCGTAATTCTTCCTCGGAGCCAGTTGCTGTCAATGCCCTTCCTGCGCTTGACATTATTGTCTTCGTCAGAGTAGCGTCCAAAAAAACATACCAACATCATACGACTCATTCCTAGTACGGCTCGTGTGACTTTAATCTATACGTTCCGTATATATCGAGGGTTATTTATCTACATTAGCATTCATGTTACGTCCAATAAGACGACGGATTGCATAGATATGTTTGACGCAACAAATCGCAATCATGATAGCGCCAAATAGTCACCAAATGGGCAGAGCAGATGTTAAGAGTCTAGGCGTCAGCTGAAGTTCGCAAAGAAAATGGCCGGTCTCATCTTGCGGCTGTGCACGTGTGCATCTGTAGCGTCTTTGCTAACGTGAGGCGGCTACGTAGGAGTTATCACGAAGACCTACCAGACCGAAATAGTCAACTTCAGCCGGTAACCGCCTCTGTTTTAGAAAGTTTCAAGTAATGCAAATTTTTACAGTCCCCGTATCTCCTCATTCGTCACCCTTTCAATAGATAGAAGTACCCCGATCCTCCTGGTATGTGAAGATGGGTGAATGGAAATACAGTATGTGTGAGGAGTGAGAAGACGGGTTGTTGGGTAGGAGGGCCTGTGGGACGGTACGAATAGTGGACCTACCCCATACCCAAACACTGCGGAGTCTGGGGAAATATGAAGTAATTGTTTGATGATGAAAGCTAAGATGACATCAAAATATATAACCGAACGTATGAGTACAAGGCGGTCCCCACGGGGTAGTTGGCAAAGTGAAGGTATAGCGGGAAATGGTGTAACTTCTCTGTTGAATCTTTTAAAGATGGCCCCTGGAGGAGAGGGGAGCGTACAACGCGCCAATTGGTAAACTACGTTTGATACATGTACAAAATAACAATAACTGGGTGTTATAATGTACTTTCTCGCCAATAATATATATATGATGGAAGAATACCTACTACATATGTACTCCCTTGAATGCTTAGGTATGTATACTCTCGGCTTGAACTTCGACATATAAGCACAAACTGCGTATTTAGTTAGGTTGTCAGTAGGCATTTAATAAGAATCAATCCAATATTAGGAATCGACTTACTGTATAAAAGAGAATCCTATAGCTTTTTTCTTGAGTTTCTAGAAGGTCTTTATCCATGCCTGTTATGTATGAACCTAGCTAATTATGTGTAACTAAGGCTAGGTAGGTACTTTGAGATAAATCCGTAATCCTTTTGAACTCTCGTGGTAGGTAGCGTAGCATTCTTACGGTGGGTGTAGCCTAGATAGAGTACTACATTGCAACAACTACATGCTGCGTAGAGAAATTCTTCATTCAACTTCTTCATTCATTCATTCACTCATTATATATATATATATATAATATACCTTACAGAGAAACAAAAGAGACCACTGAGAATTAGTGGTAATTCCTAGTCGTTGACATTGAGCGCTAGTCTTTTAAACTTTATTGATACAGACTACCGGGCTGCTCTGTAGACTTATGTACAGGCTATGCAGGTCTGCGGGTAGTTAGTGACCGACTACGCTTACACGGCATGCCTAGGTAGATTGGCTTGAAGCACTTTTGGTATTAAAACACACCAAACCCGGATGCTACGTAGCATCGAGCCGTTGTGTTCCTTCGCCTTGGAGAAATACCTCCTGACTAGCTACCCCGCGAGACGCCGAGAACTTTAAGACAAGGGTAGATAGATATGCAGATATGCAGATATGATGCAGGTAGGCAAGCCACGTACATATAGCTCCCCAGCTTCTGATCAGTCTCATCCTCGGTGCTCTACCGTCGACGGTTTAAACTGAGAGAAGAAAAAAAGGGTATTCCCAACGTAGTAAGGCTTATAGGAAGAGAAAAAGGAAAACGGCAACCCGCGAGCATGGCTGACGTCGAGGCAGCGAAGAAGGAGGACGAGATCGTGACGAACCCCGCTGATCGCCAGGACGATGCGATTGGTGACCTGAAGTTGGAGCAGGAAAGCCGCAATGTCGGCACGCTCAATCGTAAGCTCAAGTCGCGACATGTCCAGTTCATGGCGTTGTCGGGGGCTATTGGGACGGGCCTCTTCGTCGGGAGTGGACAAGTCTTGTCACTCGCGGGCCCTCTATCGGCCTTCCTGGCCTATCTAATCACCGCCTTCAATGTCTACTGCGTGGTGCACAGCCTCGGCGAGATGGCGACGTACCTCCCTCTTCCGGGGGCCGTTCCCGTGTATGCGGCGCGTTACGTCGACGAGGCCCTCGGCTTCACGCTCGGGTGGAACTACTGGTACCAACTTGCCATCGGCGTCCCCATCGAGGTGACGGTGTCGGTCGTGATCGTCGACTACTGGCCGAACGACGTGCCCGACGTGGCGCTGATCACCCTGTTCTTCCTGACCATGGTGATACTTAACTGCTTCCCCGTGCGCATCTACGGCGAGGCCGAATTTGCCTTCGGTGCCATCAAGCTGACCACGATCGTCGGGCTTATTCTCCTCATGTTCATCATCACCCTCGGTGGGACGCCAAACGGCGAGCGCATTGGGTTCAGGTACTGGCAAGACCCAGGCCCGATGAATGAGTACCTGACTGCCGGCTCCCTCGGCCGGTTTCTGGCATTCTGGAAGGTATTTATCCAGGCTACGTTCAGCTATGGGGGTAGCGAGATGGTTGTCATCGCGTCTGGTGAGACGGAAAACCCTCGCCGCAATATCCCTAAGGCGATACGGCGGGTCTTCTGGCGTATTGCACTCTTCTATGTGCTTGCCATCTTCCTTGTGACTCTGTGTGTATCATCACAGGATCCGCGTCTCTTAGACGCGATCGAGAACTCAAAGCCAGGCGCTGCAGCGTCGCCGTTTGGTCAGTATCCAGAGCTCTTCTAAACTCTTTCAAATCGACGCAGTGTTCATTCCGTACTGGGATGCAGAAAGAACACTTGATCTCAAAGTTTTGTTGATTCTCCTATTTTGCCACAACACGTTCCCCTGATATATCATCAACAGGGGGTGTATACTAACTTAAAGATATGAGAAATAGTGATCGCTATCGAGAACGGTGGAATTGAGATCCTGCCTTCGATAATCAATGCTGTCGTTTTAACTTCGGCATGGTCGGCAGGAAACTCCTTCTTCTATGCATCAACGCGTGTACTGTATTCGTCTGCTCTGGATGGCAAAGCCCCGAAGATTCTGGCATATGAGAGATGGGGAGTTCCTTACGGCAGCGTCGCGGCGACGACGGCCCTATCATGCCTATGTTACCTGAATGTGAACAACAACGGCGAGGAGGTGTTCTTCTGGTTTTCGAACTTGTCCGCGGTCTCTACTCTTATCGTCTGGGCTTCCATCTGCATCACCTACCTCCGGTTCTACTACGGCCTTCGCCATAACGGGATATCGCGTGACAGTCTGCCGTGGAAGTCACCGCTGCAGCCGTTCCTGGCATACTTTGCCATATGCTTCTGCTTGATCGTCGCCTTTTTCAACGGGTTTGACGCTTTCTTCCCGGGCAAGTTCAGCGCCAAGACATTCGTACCGCCCTATATTGATATCCCAATCTTTGCGTGCTTGTTCCTTGGGTATAAACTCTTCAAGAGAACAAGCTTCGTTAAGCTGGGTGATATGGACTTATGGAGTGGCAAGACGGAAGTCGATCGCTTAGAGGGGACTTGGCCTGAGGTGCAGCCGAGGAATTTCTTGGAGAGGATATGGTTCTGGATTGCATGATATAAATAAGTTTTATATATTATTATAAAACGAGTAAAAAATCTCGCTTAACTTTTTAATAATTACGTAATTAATATTATATAACGTGTCTTATAAGCAAATAAGCCACACAAATAAGTAAGCCACTTAATTTCCTATATAAAATCGACTTTTTTAAAATTTTATAACTTTACGCGTAAAAATCGTAAAAATCCTAGACCTTCTTTTTTAGTTATATAACTATTTATTTTAATTAAAAGTAAAATCGAAAAAATTAATTTCAAAAAACGCGAAAAGAAAACGCGTAAAAATTAAAATTAAAATAAAACATATAAACCTTTTTACGTATTTCTTTATATATTTCACTTTTATTTTTTTCGATTTTACTTTTAATTAAACCTTATAATTATATAATTAAAAAAAAAGGTTCGAGATTTTTACGATTTTTACGTGTAAAGTTATAAAATTTTAAAAAAGTCGATTTTATATAGGAAATTAAGTGGCTTACTTATTTGTGTGGCTTATTTGCTTATAAGACACGTTATATAATAAATATATAATAAATGTTAAAAAACGCTTAAATAATAATTTAACTTGTAATAAATAAATATATTTTTTTTAATTTTTAAAAATACAGAGAGATAAAAAAGTAATATAAAAGCAAAAAAACAATGGCGATAGCCGGAATCGAACCGGCGTTTACACGGTATTATTTGTGGGTTGCACATCCACAACGTGTTGTCCTAACCACTAGACGATATCACCAGGCGATGGTGATCAAGATGGGATTCGAACCCACAATCTTCTGATTAGCTGAGCTGTGCTGAGCTTCGTAGTCAGACGCCTTGCCATTGGGCCACTCGACCGTGGTGAACTTCGTCATCAATTTAGTTTATAATGGTAAGTTGCACTGTTTGCTAGAGCTAGTTGGGGCTGGCCATTCCATGCAACTAATTCCCGTCCTGTCGGTTAAACCACGGCATCCTCCACCAACCAGCAAGCAGCGCTTCCACTTCTATGTACTTTACTTAAGTCACACACATAGCAGTTAAATCGCAAGTACGGCCGGCATCTTTCTTACTTTAAATATTTCCATTATTTACGTATATTATATTACGCTTTTTTTATTAAACATTTAATTCAAAATAACTATATATTTAAATTATGAAATTAAATAAATAATAAAAAAGCTTTTTTTAAATAAGTAGTTTTATTATAATATATTAATATTATATATAATAAGTAATGTTTTTTTAATATTATATTTAAAGTTATTTATAATCACGACATTTATAAGGCTAAATAACTTGCTAAGTACGTTACGTATATCACTTTTGTCGTAATAAAGGCCGTTAATGAAAATTATATTTAAGTATTAATCGGAACGCTTTATTACTTAGTAGATACTTAGTTTAAACGGGAAAACTAAGTTAATATGTATAGTTATTATACAGATAAGTAGAAGTTAATTATCGTACATTACAAATTGTGTTTATTATGCTAGGAACTAGGTGGTTTCCTTGTTAATAAGTAGCCTTTCTCGTAGATGCTAGGTATTTACTACCACTTAATTCACCGTGATAATGTCAACGAAACTCGTATCGCCACAGGGTAGGGCGAGACTTAATGTAACTGCCTACCTAAGGTGAAAATATATACCTGTAGGTTTAGTCCTTCTTTTATAGCCGGCTTGTTTTGTTTTGCCTCGTTCTATACAAAATTCTTTTTTAAAAATATACGCATCCTGGGCAACCTTGATATTACTTCATTTGAAACGTCACTAAATATCCTATGGAGAAAAATCAAGCAGCAACGATGGGAGAAAGTAGTGTAATGAAATATGACATAGAAATTCCAGCTGCTGGAGGCGTTGGTGCTGTTGTTGTTGTCGTCGTTGTGCGAAAAGACAAATCACAGGTAATTCAAAGATAGAGCCCCTTTACATGAGAAATAGTCTCTAAGTTCTTGTTAAGCCTTGTACTTGTAACGCTCTTCGCCGTTCTAGGCTCACTACAGGTGAAGCGTGATCTAGACAGCTGCCTTGAGCAACAACAACTATATAAGCTACGAACACATACCATCCCCTTACTAGTCGTTGGCACTTGGATGATTGTGTTATTGGGGTTGTCTTTATCGAATTGTCTATCTGTTTTTCCTGAGTGGCTAGGCACGGATTATAGGGTGAGAGACTTAGCTATAATGAGGTATATAGACTGAGATGTTGATAAGCTTCATTACTAGACCTATTATTTATTACGTTTCGTTGCGCATGAGACTATGCGTACGCGTCCAAGTTTGTTAAGCCCAGTTGGAGGTAGCTTGCACTCCTAGAAATACTCTTTACGGTACGCTATATAATGTACCTCTCCCACGTATATTCTAAAACATACCCAAACACAGTCAATTCTCGACAAACAAATTTTGATCCTTCTGATCTCTAGCCTCCTCATCCAACAGCCCTAAAGCTCGTCGCCATAAGTCCTCATTCCTGAAATCTAGCCACGCCAGTGCCATAAGAATCATTGAGAATATGAAGATGAAGAGGCTTAACCAACGCGATGCTAGCCGTGATCTGCATATCTTCCCCACAGAATAGGTATTTTTGCGTATATTTTGGTATGCTGTCAATTCGCACGACCATGTTGAAGAACTCTTCTCTGTTCGATATATTATATCCCATATGTCCAAAATGCTTGAAGCCGTGACTTCCCAGTTACTCAACATGGCGTTGTCAACTAATGTGAAGACAAATGCGGACAATGCAAGGGCGATATTAACGGCAAGGATTAGGAAGATGGTGGTTCTGATCCATAACTTCGTCTAGAGGAGGTTAGTTAGTCGCTGTAACTGTGAAATAAGGTGACAGAACCTCAATCATAACAGTACCTTATTTTCATCTTCTCGCATGCCGTAAAACAATATACCTTCAAGTGCGACTGACACCAGCAAACTGAACCCAGCACTCCCAAGCATGACCTTCTCGACGGGAGTATATGGTCCTCGGAAACCGGCTAACAATGGCTGTATATCAACTAATCCACCGGTGATATCACGATGGGCCAAGGTAGGAAACCTCAATAACATGGCCCCTAAAATGGTAACTGTAGTTATTTTAACTAGACAATTTCTCGTCCACGATTCTTCATGCTTGTCTAGCGGTAGTCTGATAGGCATTTCAATTATATTTCGTTGCTTAGAGGGGGGAATAAAAGACAAAATTTGAATATTCATATGTACTAAACAACTAATAAAGCGCATTCTCTTGCCGACCTCTTAAGTATAGTCCTCACCCTCCCATAGTAAGCGGTGACCCAGCTCCACGGGTCAGCAATATTGATGGGCCATTTTTTTATTCTTAGATTCACGAGGCCATCGGGTCCGAGGAAATTGAGGGTTATGAATTAGTCGTCTCCTATCTTGGGGGTAGTTCTATAAGAGGATGGGGATCTGTTATTTTATGATCAGATGTCTGGATCAGAAGTCACTGCGGACAACGCATCTCATGACATCAGGTCTCGTTTACATGGTAACCTAGTCGGAATTAGCAAAGACCAATTCGGGTGGGGGGGACTGGGATGGATCTTTGGCTAAATTCAAAAAACAAGGGTACTTTTAAGGGCTGGGAAGTGCCACTTTAAAAGGGAAAGGTTTGGTCGCATTCATAGGCACCATCAAGTTCTATTGATGGAACATATTCGGCTCCGAAACAAGTACCGGGGATGCACAGCATTTGTATCTACTCCTACGGTACTTTTTATTTGTACAATCCACCTCCGGCAGCAGAGGATCAATGGTTGTCATTTAGATAGGGATTCTGTATTATGCCATTAAAATCTAGGTAGAAGGTCAGTCGATGAGCTTCAAGAAACAGGTTGAAAATAGACAGTTATCATAATATGCCTAATAAACATGCAGAGGAATGTGATTTATAACATGAAGTACCTCGAGGTTTAATTGAGATTCACATTAAACTCAGCTTATTATTGAGTGAGGAAGTGGGCCACATACTTAATCCCCAGTTTAGTAAGGTTGTTATTTAATCAACCATCATACTTATTAAACTACCTCTTTAAAGAACGAAATAGTTGGTTATATATAAACAAACGGTATAGAAGCATAATAAATACAGTGGTTCGTAATAGTTGACGGTTACGTCAACTCAGCGTGATTCAGATTGCGTTTTAAACTCTCACTGAATGAATGTGTCCCCTGGTGAGCCCTTATACATACCTACTTCTAAACGAAGAGGTATGATAAGTCGTAGTCGGTGATATGCACTGCTATCCTTCATTTCCTCCTACATAAACTTAACCTCAATAATATACGGAGCTTGTAAGTATTAAGCTAACTGTAATATCCATTATAGAGGTGTACGTACTCATAAATATCAAATGAAAGTAGCTGACTGAACAAGTGAAAAAAAGAGCCCCTGACGCCACGATGTTACTAGAATCCGACGCTCAACAAAAAGCATTGCGGCTCCAAAAATAAGCTTTCAGGTCACAGGAGAGACCAAAACAAGAAAACGAGAAGAAAAAAAACCCGGTATTTGTACCTAGAAAGCCCATTCTGGGCTAAATGTCAGCCCAACCACGATTCTGTAGTCTTCCCATGCAACTATAAGTCAGCTGCATAGAAATACTAGAAGCGAGAATCATACATTGTTTTAGGCCTATTGCTCCTATTCTAAGAGCTTCAGAGGGATTTAGAGAAAACGCTGGACGAAAGATTGTCTTGACAGGCCTTCAGGTGTGGAGAAGTACACTATGGCATGGCTGCATGGATGACCCGGTAGTGGAGGAAGTCTGGGTTACTAGGTTCTTACTCCTCCAACTCCTTACCCCCACAAACCGATCCGTAATCCCTGGTGCAGTCTGCGAATTAACAAGACAGCACTAAGGTCACTGGGGTCATAACCAGAAAATCATTCGCTGCGTGCACGCCTAGCAACCCGAGTCATTGAATAGTGTCGCGCACATTTGTTGAATCGCCCTGAAGCTAATAATATGAACTGATTGATGTGCATTTACGTAGACCGCACACCGTTCCTTTCGATAAGTTTTCACGAAGTGCTCTAAGACTTTCTGGCTGACAACCCAAAGTTGGTGGTGAGCTGGACATGTTATAAATAGAGTAAGTGACTGGCCGGCTTCCGAGACAAAGCCTTTCCGTCAATTATGCCTGGAATATATCTACCTATAATGATAGGTTTGGCTAATAACTATGATCACCGAGTTTCTGGGCCTTTAGGAAGTGCATAATGAGATAGAACGAATTTAAGCACTAGATTTCATCATGTTGGTTGCCTCAACATCCATTGAGCGCATGCCTCTAAGAAGCAAACAGACTGCTCACTTGGACTAGAATACCATAGTGGCTTCTGCTATGGAGGCATATAGAGAGGTTTAGATAATTCATAGTCAGTAGTACATATAAATGGGTAAAATTATTAGCTAATGGTAATGATAGTTCAAGTAAAAGTATCTATGGTGATCCCGTGAAGATCATAAACACGCCAACAAGGAATTCTTGTTTCGTTGTGTAGCCTAAAAGTTTACAGAAGATAGATTTCCTCATTCAATAGTAATTAGTTGAGTACCTATCTTCATTGAAGCAGATAGCAAGGGGAGAATTTGCAACAAGGCAGTGGCTATTTTCAGAAGGCCGTTGCCCATCGCCTGTTACATCTAACTCAACTCAACTAAGACACTATCAGCCCTAAAAGCGATTCCCTGGCTTGTGTTTAGCTTGTATGAATGATGCAAAGCTGCGGGATAATATATAAATCATAATTAAAGACATCCCGCTCCCTCTTTTTCTCTTTCTTTTTCTTACCCTATTCTCACCTGTAGTCCCCATAATATCT